CTCACCTGCACATGCACAGGCACACACATGCCCATTTACTCCCATTACACACTCACATGTACACAGTCACACCTGTATGCAAGGCACGCTCACATATGCCCACTTACCCCCATTACTCACACATACCTGCTTACTCCCATTACACACACACACACACACACACACACACACATGCATAGGCACACACATATGCCCACTTACTTTCATTACACACTCATATGCACACACATGCACAGGCACACACATTCCCACTTACTCCCATTACACACATGCACACACTCATATGCATATGCACACACATGCCCACTTACTCCCATTACACACTCACATGCACACACACATATGCACAGGCACACACATGCCCACTTACTCCCATTACACACTCACATGCACACACTCACATGCATATGCACACACATGCCCATTTACTCCCATTACACACATACACATTCACACCCACACACACATGCCCACTTCCATTACACACACACGCACACACTCACATATGCACACACACATAGACACATGCATACACTCACACAGATATACCTACTTACACAATCACACACATGCACACACACTGCACACAGTGACTCAAAACGCAGACTCACATACACACATATAAGCACTTACTCCCATATTCACACACTGCATTTATATACATATGCTCACACACTCATGCATGCACATACATACATGTTCACACACACACACATTCCACATTCACATATACATGCACACATATTGACTCTAACATTCATTTGTGCACACACACACAATCACGTGCAGTCCCTCATCCACACACACACAACCAAACCCCACTCATAGACCCAAGGAACTGTGCCCAGAACACACAGATGCCCACAGATGTTCTCACTGCAGACACTCAGGTGCATCCTCATCTCACAGTGGCAACCCAAAGATAAAACACCCAGTCTCACACCAGAAACGCACTGCACACATTTGGGACACACACACCACTGTGCCACTGTGTGTGTGTGTGTGTGTGTGTGTGTGTGTGTGTGTGTGTACAAAGGCAGAATCACCGTGGTTTAGGGGAAACAGCCTTGACAATTGAGAGGTGTCACTCTGATCCTGATGGTGTTCCTGCATGCTCCCCGGCTCAGTGCAACCCCCCGGCCCCCCTGGACCTCCAGGCAGACAGGACTGCACAGGTCCGCTGTGAAAGCCCCCCACATGGAGAGCCCTGTTACTCTGCCCGGCTTTCCCCACCACAGAACGTTTCTGCTGCCTGCCTCTGTCTTCCCCGGCCTTGCTCTCTCCGCCTCTCCGCCTGTGTGTCTCGTCTCCGTATGTCTGCGTGTTCTCACGCTCTCTCCCTTACTCTGCTCCTCTCCGTTGTGATCCCTTTTGCTCTCTGCCTTTTTGCCTCATCCCCAAACCTTTTCTTGTCTTTGTCTCTTTTTTTTCGGTTGCATCTTTCTGGCTGTGCCTCCCTCCGTATCTCTCTCTCCTCCCTCTCTCCTCTGCCTTTACTCTCCCAGTCTCCATTTCTGAGTCTTGCACACATACACACACACACACGCTGTCACACAGCCCCTTGCCCCGTCCCTGGGTGACAAGCTCAGGCGCAGTGGGGTGTAGCGCTCAGCAGCAGGGGAGACAGTGAGCAGGGAGGAGAGGGGGAGGAGGGCTCGCCTCACCCAGCCTGGCCCTAGGCACCAGGAACAGGCGCCCCCACGCTCCCGCCCGCCCCCTGATCCCACACGACTGTGCAGGGGCCTCGGCAGGTCCTCGGGAAATGCTCCATTCCACCTGCTGGCTGCAGTGAAACCAAACCCAGGCTGGGAGAAGGGGCGGCTCCTGCTAAAGGTTGCACAGCCATTGGAGGGCACAGCAGCACTGGGTGTTCATGGCAGGCTTGGGGCCCCCAGCTGGAAGCTCCCTCCAGCAAGCTGGCCCTGACACCTGGGGCCCCAGCTGCCAGCCTGGGAGGGGCTGGGATCCTATCTCCCCCCAGATTGGGCCAGGAATGCCCCCCACCTTCACTCTGACCTCCCGGACACGGACCCCTGAGCCATGCTGGAAGAGGGGTCTGAGTGTGGAACGTGCTGGTGCCCTCGGAGGCCTTATGTCACCCCCTTCCCCAGGCCCTGTTGCTGGTGGTGGCCTTGGCAGGCCTGGGCTTGGGCCTGAGCCTCATTTTCATCGCTGTCTACCTCATCCGCTTCTGCTGCTGCCGGTCCCCCGAGCCCCCCGGGTCCAAGAGCCCGACCCCCGGGGGAGGCTGTGTCACCTGGAGCTGCATTGTCGCCCTTCTCGTCGGCTGGTAATGGGGCCCCAGGGTGGGTGGGCAGTGGGGACAGGGCTCTCCAAGCTCTCTGCCGGCCTTCCTAAGAGTGTCCCTTGTGGGTGTGGAGGAAGCAGACAGGAAGAAGGAAACTCCCTCGTCCCTCTCCCCACCATATGCAAGTCCACTTCAGTCGACCCAGGAAGGACTGTCCCATTTGATGGATGGAGAAAGTGAGGTTCTGGAGAGGAAGAGAATTTCCCAAAGGCAGCCATCTGGTGAGAAAGTCAGTCAGGTTGCCTGGTTTTGGTGGCTCTCGCATTGAATAGCTATGTGACCTAAGGGAGTGATCGTCTCCCTGGGCCTCGGTTTCCACATCTGTAAAATGGGCATTATGGTATTGCCCACCTCCTGCTATGGTGAAACTGACAGAAAGCACAGCATCTGCTTGCAGTTGTTCTCGGTCAGTGTTAACTGCTGATATCATTTGCTCATTCACTAGCTCATTCATTCAACTATTTATTAAGTAACTACCATGTGCCAGATACTGACCAAACCAGACAAGGAGCCCCTCATGCAGCTTATGTTCTAATCAGGGAGACGGACGATAAATAAATACCCACCATCCAAGAGCACCTCATCTGTGCTCAAACCTGAGCTGGTCTAATTCCTTCTCACAATAACGCTGCTGGATTCAGGGGTGTCAGGTCCAGTTTCCAAAGAGGAAGGCGCAGGGAGAGAGGGGAGGTCACCTTTCAAGGCCACGTGCCTTAAGAGGCAGCACGGAGATTCAGACCCAGGTTAGCAGGGCCCCTCACACCCTTCAAAGGAGCTCAGGGGGCTTCCACGGTGAACACAGCACCTACCAAGAGCAAGCTCTGGGCACAGCCCCCTCCCCAGCAGGGTGGCACCCACAGTTGACAGATGGCTGTCCTCCTCCACAGACCGGGGGTCCCAGAGGGCCAGAGGCCTGCTCCGGACTCACAGCAGGCAAGGGGAGGGACCTGTATGGGTGCCCTGTATCCAGGATGCTTCCTCCTCCGGCTCTCCAGCATGGGGCGGGGGGAAACAGGGGAGGTGGACAAAGGCCCAGTGGGGGAGAGACACGGCCCCAGCCCCCGCAGCCTGGGAACAAGAGGAGCTTTGTAGGACTCTGAACAATGGGGCGGGGACGCTGGGCGTCCGATCTGAGGGATGGGGGTGGAGGCCCAGCCGGGGCTGGGAACTGTGAGGGTGTCGGGCTCCCGCCCCCTCCACTGTAGGACACCAGCCAGGGGCGGGGATGGGAGGGGTCTGGGGCCCCACATTCAGGCCCCACAATGGAGCTCTGTGTGTTGGCTGGGCTGGGGCGGGGGCATGGCTCTGGCCCATCCTCCAGCCTCCCTCCCACGTTCCCTACTTCCCTCCCAGCTGGCCAAACGCTTGGGTCCCGGGTGGGGGAAGGCTAGAGCTCCAGGCTCAGTGTCCCCCTAGGAGATGGTGGCAGCTGCCCCCCTCGCACCGTTAGGAACCCCCAGGAGGTGGGGGCGGGGGACATCTCAGCACTGGAGGGTCCATGATGCAGGGCCCAGGGACTCAAGGGCACCTTAGGACAGGTGCCAGGAAGGCTGCCTGCCTGGCAAAGGATGGAGGGGAGGGTGTGGGGCAGGCAGTCATCGGGAGGGGAAGATGGCCCATCCAGGGGCTGGGCGTGCCTGGGGTTCTGCTCCAGGGAGGTGCGAGTTAAATCGGGGGCTCCCTCCCCCCCACCACTCCACCCACCATTAGCATCACAATGACGTCCCTCCGCTGGGGGAGTGAGGCCTTCCCGTTACCTTGGCAACCGAGGGGGCCAGGCTGGAGTCGTCCTTTTCCCACGGGCTGGACCAATGGGGTGGGGCTGAGATGGGAGGGGAGGATAGGAAGGTGGGGTACAGGGGATAGGGTGGGAGGGGACAGTGGCCTCCAGGATCCTGGGACTCGCTAAGATTCCTCTCCCTCCTCCTCCTCCTCTCAGCACTGGCATTGGCATCGGTTTCTATGGCAACAGTGAGACCAGTGATGGGGTGTCCCAGCTCAGCTCCGCACTGCTGCACGCCAACCACACACTCAGCGCCATTGACCACCTGGTGAGGGGCCAGCGACCAGTGGGTCCCCAAACCCACACCCGACAGGCTCCCTGTAAGCCAAGGACAAAGGGATCCAAAGTCAGAGCTAAGACCCCACCCTTGAAGCTTAAGACCCCAGATTCGAAACCTCATCCTGAGACCCACAGACCTCAGCCTGTCCACTCAAGCCCTACCCTGGCTGCAGATTGAGGTCCTCAACCCAGATGCAGCCCTGGACCTTACCTGGAACCCCCAAACCATACAGACACCAAGCACCAGGGACACCAGCCCCTGTGCTTGGGCCAGACCCAGGGCCCCAGACCTGATTCCTGGCACAAAAGCAAGCTCAGAGACCCCAGCCCTGAGACCCAGTCCCCGACTTGAGGCTTCAGCTCTGACCTCAGCCCCAGGATTCTGGGCCCTGGCCTTAGATTCCATGTCCAGCTGCAGACCCTGGACCATGGGACCCAGACTCGAGACCCCAGATTCTAGAAGGCAGATGCAAACTTCAGACGTAAAGCTCCAGACTTAATCTCAGCCCTGCGGCTTGACTCTCTACACTGGGCTCAAGCTGCCAACCACCCAGAGCTCTGGATAGAGGCCACAAAACTCCATGAGCTTGACCTTGGAGTCCCTCCCCAACCCCTTCCCTTCCTCAATCC